CGTTAGTTAGGGCTTTTCAGGCCCATGATCCACAACTAACCCCTAACCTTTTCACAATATTATGGCTACCGCAATGTCTTTTTTGTCTTTTTTTTTTTTTTTTTTTTTTTTGTAAAAATAACGTGGGCCGTTAGTTAGGGCTTTTCAGGCCCATGATCCACAACTAACCCCTAACCTTTTCACAATATTATGGCTACCGCAATGTCTTTTTTGTCTTTTTTTTTTTTTTTTTTTTTTTTGTAAAAATAACGTGGGCCGTTAGTTAGGGCTTTTCAGGCCCATGATCCACAACTAACCCCTAACCTTTTCACAATATTATGGCTACCGCAATGTCTTTTTTGTCTTTTTTTTTTTTTTTTTTTTTTTTGTAAAAATAACGTGGGCCGTTAGTTAGGGCTTTTCAGGCCCATGATCCACAACTAACCCCTAACCTTTTCACAATATTATGGCTACCGCAATGTCTTTTTTGTCTTTTTTTTTTTTTTTTTTTTTTTTGTAAAAATAACGTGGGCCGTTAGTTAGGGCTTTTCAGGCCCATGATCCACAACTAACCCCTAACCTTTTCACAATATTATGGCTACCGCAATGTCTTTTTTGTCTTTTTTTTTTTTTTTTTTTTTTTTGTAAAAATAACGTGGGCCGTTAGTTAGGGCTTTTCAGGCCCATGATCCACAACTAACCCCTAACCTTTTCACAATATTATGGCTACCGCAATGTCTTTTTTGTCTTTTTTTTTTTTTTTTTAATAGAAAATAATTTATTTATTGTTTTTTTTTAAATTTACCTATCCTAATTAATAAAGACCGTCCCATACCATTCCTTGGTTGGGCCCACTCAATTTGGAGAAAAAATTTGTAATTTTTAAATAGTTAAAAGCTTATTTAATTCATTTTTAATAATTCTTGTCTAATATTAGACAAGAATTAATGTTATTATTTTATTGCTATGGTATATTAACGTAGATTAATTGATGATAAATATGGATACAAAACTGACTGAAACCAACAACAATTTAGTGTGAGTTTGATCTATGGTAATATCTAACTTTAAAAATTATATTTATAATAAAAAGAAACTTATAGAACACATTTATTAAATAATTAGTCTAACTCATTAATTTATTAAATTGTATATGAACCACCTTTGTACATATTGGATTGGCATATGGGCCTGACCATTTGGGTCATATTTGAATGGGTCTATTGGTTGGTTTACTACGGGCTTATCATTGGGTCACCTATGTATATAATTCGATGTTTTTATATATTTTAAAAAGTATTGTTTTAATATTTTTTTTTAGAAATATAATTTTTAAAGCTAGATATTATGGCGTTGGTAATTTTTGTTAAAAGTTTTAAAAAATTAATTAAGAAACCTTATAAAATCAATAATTTTATCTATACTAAAAAATCAATTTTAAAATAATGCTATTTAATCAATCAAATTTCAAAAAAGTTAACCTAAACTAAAATCAATTTTAAAATAATGAGCGTGATTATTGAAGATTGGGTTAGCCTAACCTAAGCACAAATAGTATGTTAAGTTTATTGAACTTCATATTATACGATCGGTCTAAGACTGTATTGAAGGGTTGGAGACTATTTCCATATATATAAATAAATAAATAAATAAAACTTAACCGTCATACATTAATTAAATAAAAAAAATAAGAGAGCGGCTCAAAGCTTAAAAGGTTAGGTCGAAGAAGATGACCAACAATATATGCCTACCCATGTGACCCAAAGTTTACTATATATAATAGATAGTGAATGATATTTCATATTAAGATATTTTAAAGAGCTAAATTTAATTTTTCTTTCAAAATTTTCTACAAATATGTAAATTCTAACCTATATATATATATATATTTGTTTGACCAATTTATCTTCTCTCTAGAAGCAAGCTTCTTCCTTTTGTCTTGTTTTTGGGCGACTATCGAAAAGAAGAGAGAAAAAAACGTACCCAACACTGTAATTACGAACAGAGCTCTTGCGGTCTCTTCATATAATAGGAACACTTCCAATATCGATTGAATCTTTAAGTGGGACCCCTTATTCGATCAACTTAGCTAGATCATATGAATCGTACTGTGCCTAATATACTCAATTATTTTGTAACCACCAATGAATTAAGGAACTTAGAGACCTAATATGTTGAAGTTATGATGAACTGAAAGGCCCTAAACCTAAACCAAGATGTGAGAGAGAGAGAGAGAGAGAAAGAAAAAGGGTATGAGAATCCCAAAACGAAGAAAGTTTCCAAAGAGAAGAGGACAAGGAAGTGAATGCCAATGATAAGCAGCAAAAGGGATGATGGTATCACTTTTGAGGTGGACTTTGGGGTTCCTTCAACCTACTACTCACATCAAACCCTAAAGATTCCTTCCAATTTGAAATATTGCATTTGTCTTTCTCTCAACTCAAACCCCTTTTATTCCCCTTTCAACTAAACTCTCAACAAATCCCCCCTCATCACTTCTCCCTTTTTCTTTTCGACCCATCTTTTTCTTTCCACGCTAACCTGAACCAACTCAACCTGACTCGAAACAAATTAGTGTATGCATTCAAAATAAATAAGAAAATATTGGGGTTAGTAAGTTTTAGCCTTATATTTTATTGTTGAAAAGGGCCAGTTTTTGAAAGGAATCTGTGTTGTATTGTATGAAACTTGGTGGGTCTTGGTTTATGTTTTGGAGAAGAATCTGAGGTGAATGAAACTTCGTGCATGTTTTGGATTATTGAAAACAGTGATGTGATGAGATGAGATGAGAGTAGAAGTAGGTGAATCCATGAAGCATGTCTGTCAGGATTTGATATTTGATTTGATATTAATGATATTATTTATGATACCAATGGATGGTTGAGTAACCCAGAAATAATAACAAAAATATGATATGGGTTTGAATGTTTGTTGTATTTTTGTTTGGTTTAATAGGATAAAATAGAAGTTTCAACCCTCTTTTTCTAACTCTTCTAATGGAGATTCAAGTTTTTAGCTGTGTGGGAAACTCCAAACAAAAGAAGAATCTTTTTTCCAATCTCAATATTAGGTTTTCTTCCCATACTTGTTTGAATCTATATTTTTTTTTCGAAGGCTGGACATTTTTTAAGTCACCACCTCACCTATTTTTCCTATGAAAATAAAGTTTTCCTATGAAAATAAAGTATCACTAGATGTTTGACATGTCTAATATATGTATAAAATCTTTTACAACATCACCAAATTTCATTTAAAATAAAAAACTAACATAATTGATAATTAAATTCAAAACAAGAAAACAATTACTTACAACAAAAATTTAAAAGAAAGGTAAGTAGCATTGCTGTTGGGTGAGAAACTGTTCTTTGAGCTTGACTTTTCATTCTGGGTAGGATTGGATGTGTAGTATTTTTTTACATGCGGTCTATGCATACACATGTGAAACCATCGACATGCTCATGTACGTGCCCCTGGGCTTGACTATGCTCACGTTGTCAGAAGCCACGGAGGGAAAGGTGTGCGTATCACACCATAATTTATGCATTCGTACTAATCATACTGGGTAAGTATCACAATGCTCGCGAGATACAACATGTACAAGGTCCCATAGTTTCAAATTATAGTATATACTTATGATACAAAACATATTTCTATTCTTTTCATGAAATAATGTTCCTATAAAACATTCATATGTATACTAGACATAATGTTCTTTGACTTATCATTGTCTCATAAGCAAATGTGAACATATTATCATAATATACACAATGTACATCATATTACAACATTCACATCATATTGTAAATCATATCATAACATAATCATTACATACGATAAGATAAAGATGATGCATAGTTCATAATATCATTTTTTTTTTGTGGATATAAATTGTGGTGAAAATAAAAAGAATAATAGAAATAAAACAATAAAGGGAAAGAAAGAAAAAGGAAAATAGTGTTATATGGAAAAGCAAAGGAGTTTGGGTGCATTCTTGTGAGGGTTATATGGAAGAGAGTGAAGATTTTGGATTATTCGGACAATTATATGTCAGTAAACAGTCTGAGAGGTGATGTCCCCTTTTTGTATATCAATTATTTCTGAAGAACAGCTGATCTCTATGCACTCTCTCTCTCTCTCTCTCTCTCTCGCTGCTTGTTTTTATATGCGCAGAGAGAACAATAAAAAAGGACCCAACTTTTTGCTACTCACCACACAAATATGCAACTGAGGGACCTCTCTCTTTCTCTCTTTATCACTAATCTTAACATATCTTCAAATCAATTTAGGTTCTTCATGAGTTGGAGTTGGTTTGGACAGTTAGATTTGATCTACGATCAAAATATGTCGAAATAAGTAAAAGAAGCAAATGAAAAACTTGAAAGAAGAGATCTTTTAGAATAAAAGAAACTTTATGCACATAACTTTTCAATTCTATTTGTTGTTGTAGTTATTGTGAAAAGAGTATACATCTACTAGCTTCCTAAACTTTCTCCTCAAGTTAGGAACCGCTGACAATCTTCCTAATTAAAGCATAAAACTTAACCCACAATCACAAAACTTGGTTAACTAGGTGACAACTACTATCAATTCTCCTATAGTTGCTCTATAAGTTAGTAATTTATTCTTTTAAGTCAAGTTTATCAGCTAACAATCTACTCTGTAAACTTGACTTTGTTCGAGATTCTTTATTGCTAGCTATTCCCCCATCTCTGCAAGGTTAACTCTTGTTAGGGCCTTGGTTAGAATATTTGCATGTTGCTCTCTAGTGCATACGAACTCAACAACGATTTGTCTCTTCTCAACACACTCACGAATGAAGTGGAAAAGAGTGTCAATGTGTTTGTTGCGTTTGTGAAATACTAGATTTTTCATTAGTCCAATCATAGATTTGTTGTCGATGTAGGGAGTTACTGGCTTTAGTTCACTTGTAGCCACTTCACTCAACCAATTTCTCAACCATAATGGCATGACGTCGCAGTTGCTGCCATGAACTCAGCCTCACACGAAGAAAGTGCCACAGTTCACTGCTTCTGATATTGCCAAGAGATCAAATTTCCGTTGAGATAAAATGTCATTCTTGCAATACTTTTCCTATCGTAAATATCTCCAGCTAAATCACTATCGGTAAAACAGACTAGTTCTTCAGGATCTCGCCCTCTTTGATACTTCAGCTCATAGCTTGTGGTAACTTTCACATAGCGGAGAATGTGTTTAACCGCTTGATGATGCATTGTAGTATACTTTTTCATGTACCTACTCACCATTCCAACACCTTATGAAAGGTCCAAATGAGTATGAGTCAAGTACCTCAGAGTACGAGTCAAGTACTTTGCTACCATGGGATATTTTGTTGAGTTGCACTCTGCCATCTTAAGTTGTTGCAACAACTTCTTAGCATAGGTCGATTGCTTTAGCATGATGCAATCTTTCCTTTGGTCCACTTCAATACTGAGGTAGTACGTGAGTAACCTGAGATTAGTCATCTCAAATTCTTTCATCATTTACAGCTTGAACTCTTTGACGTCTTCCATACTGGTACCGATGACGATCATGTCATCAACATACGCACCAACTATGAGTGTTTCAACCCCATTGTTTCTTATATACACTGCTTGTTCTTGCCAGTGAAGTTTAGGGGTTTGCTTCAACCCCACTCGCTCCACTAGACGTGCCCATCCCACTCAACTTAATTATGTGGCTATCCTTACACATAGGGATTTATCTAACATTACACTCCCCTCCACTCCTTTCCGCTCTTTAGTGTTGTCACTTCTCCTCCGGTGATTTTACATCCTGGCTCTAATACAAAATGTTGGATTTTAGTGAATTTCTTCGTGTCATGAGTAGTTTGTGACTCAACAAGTTCTATGTGACTCAACAAGTTCTATGTTATAAACTAGCTTGTTTGATATTACTAAGGTACTACCAACATGATGGATGATTTCCAAGTCATCAGAAGAATAAAGATAACAAGTATAACACATGGGCAACATGCATGATGTCCTATCTATAAGGACAATACGAGATCATTGGTGGAAGCAAAATTATGCCCCAAAAGGAGCATGCTATTAGCGCCCTGTGCAAATGGTGAATCAAAGCAGACAAAACAATGTTTTCCTTGAAGACCATAATTGAGGAAAAGATGTTGAAGCACATGCGAGGTGACAAGACACCAAAAGAAACATGAGACATGTTCGTGACACTTTTCTCAAAGAAGAACAATATGAGGTTTTGACTTCTGGATAATGAACTATTATCAATCTCACAACGTAACATGAAGATTGCTCAGTACCTACATAGGGTCAAGTCGATTACTAAACTAGATCCAAAGTTTGTCATCGGAGAAGCTCGAATGAAGAGAATTATCATCCATGGATTGCAACCAGAATATTGAAGCTCTATACAAGTAAAAGACGGAGCAACAATAAATCATCCACCAAGGTGGATACAAAAATGATGACAACGAAAAAAGTCACTAAGGAACCGCACAATTCTTAAGAGCTCAAAAGAATGACAATTAGAGTTTTCAAGAGAAGAGATTTGAAGGTATTTTCTACGAAGGACACATGTCCAAAGATTGTTGGTCTACGAAAAAGTTCATTGAAATTAATGCGTCAACCTCCAAAAAGGAGATGAAGGATGTATGTGATCAGAGAAGTGATTACTTGCCTTAGAAGAAGACGAGCTAGCACTCATGGTGATGGTGGAGAGCATATCAATTATGAGAATGACTTGAATTTGAGTATTTAATGAAATTTTATTCGTGAAAATGTTAAGTATTCAGTTTAATATGATTTATTACTAAATTAATGTTTTAAAATTATATATATTAACTCATTACATAATAAAAATTATATGAAATGAAATTGTTACAAATTTTAAAATATTATGTTGAGATATATCATTAAAAAAAAAATCTAATTTTCAGAATATCTTTACTAATCAATTTTCCGTTGAATTTGAAATAAGTAAAAGAAAACTTAAACGGATGTGGAGAGAGTGCATCAATTAACTATATAATAATAGTAATAATAATAATAATAATAAAACATCTTAATTGACCTTAATTACTCTACAAAGTGCCTTAATTAATCAATTCTTTCAAAGCCTAATTCACATTAATATTAATTACATGCGTATATCTTATAATTTAAATATCTTGGTCGTGTGTGAACGAAAAAAAAAACAATAATTTTTACATTAACAATAAAATATATTAAAATAACAATAATTTAGCCTACTCCACTCACTTAAATATAAAATTATTTTGAGTATTTATATTATCCTATTACTCCATAAATTTGGATTTATGTTCGATGAAATTCAAGGTTGATATTTGTAATTAATGTTAGTGATGTGGTGTGAGTTATACTATTTGATATTTGAATCTTATGAATCTTATGAATCTTATGAAATTTTAGTCATTAATGTAACATATATCGTGCATAAATATAATTTTTTTTAAATAATTAAAAAACTCTGGAAACATAACCTAAGATTAGGTTAAATGGGTTGAGTGACATTATTTATTATTTATTTTTGTGTGGGGACATTACCCCTTTCTTTTTAATTTATGGTATCCATAATTTCATGTTTGCATATACATATATATATAGAGAGAGAGAGAAATGCACAAGGCGTTACGAGTTGCTTGGAACCAGAGAAACTTGGCCGCTATGTCTCCTTATGGAAGAATCACATCGGTTTCTCAGCACATTTCTGGGTTCTTGCACTAATCAATCACACACACCTAACAATTAAACCATTCCATTCCCACTTTTCCACTGCTCAATCGCTTCCCCATTTGGTGATTTCCGCCCATTCTCCACTCTATTTGGCCTCTTCTTTAGTCGCTCAAACCCCACGATCTGTCCAATTCTCACCCCCTCAAACCAACATTAAATTTCTGAAAATACCCATTGCAGAAACTCCACCTTTTTCAATGGAATTTTGTTGCTACACAACCTTCTTTTTGTATCACCATTTTTTCTTACTGGGTCTGCAGAAACCTGAGCTAATGGGTCCCTTTTTCAATTGATCATTTCTGGTTTCTTCCATTTTGGCTTCCTTCATCCTTTTCTCCCTGTTCTGTTACTTCTATTTCCTGTCTCGGAGTTGGGGTTTGGCTACAATTTTTAGTTGGGTAAGGCTTTTGGAAGCAGATTGAAAGTGGGGTTTGCTCAAAAAAGAAAAAAAATGCTGGGGGAGGATGCGAGAACAGGGCACACCCGCTCTAAAAGGTAGATTTCAGTGTGTTTTTGGTCTGTTTTCGTGCTTGAAATTTTGCCATTCTGTATTTGAAATGTTGTTCGTTGAAAATGAGGGTTAAATTTCAAGTTCAGATCCTCGTGATAGAGCTCTGAGAATTAGGAGGTAGTGAAATTTTGTCCTGTTTTTGTGAAATTGACTGATTCATTTTGTAGCTGAGAGTTGTTGTTGTTGTTGTTGTTGTTGTTGTTGTTTAGCCTCTGTTTATTCTTGAAGATAATTGTTTGGATTTTGAAGTTTTATTATCTGAATCTTTGTCCTTGACTTCTTCTTCCCCTACTCATGTTGTAGAACTCTTTTGTCTTTGCTCTACGCATATGGCAGCTCACTCGACAAGAAATCGGTTCAAGATGATCCATTACATAATTCTCTCCACTTCTCCAACATTTTAAACATGGTAAGATGTTTTGTTTCTTTCTTTTTCCTTCTCAACTATTATATGCTGAGCTTAACCAGGCAAGAACTTGTTAATTACTCGAAAACGACATGGATCAGGATAAGTTTTATGATAGAAATTGGAATTTTCAATGAACACCAGGATCTGGATCAGGTGAAAGAAGTCGAGAATAAGAAAAACTTGTCACCAAAGATGGAAGTTCATAGTTCTTTGAAGAATGAGGTATGGATTTAAACATGAAAGTTTGCAACAACGAACCAATATGAATAACCAGGCAAACTTTTTGTTAGATTATTCAACTCGAGAAGCGATTGCAAGACCAGTTCAAGCTCCGCTCGGCGTTAGAAAAAGCATTGAATCATGGAGTTCTTCCCTATAATAACTCAGACAAAATCTCAATGCCAAAGGTAAAATAGTCTCTTTGATTGTTTTCAGATGATATTCACAAAGCATATATTTAATTCACTTTGACTGCAGTCAGCCATGGAGTTAATCACGGAGATTGCGACGTTAGAACTAGAAGTCGTGCATTTAGAACAATATCTTCTTTCTTTATACCGAAAAGCATTCGAGGGACAATCATCTTCTGTATCCCCTGCTAAGGACGAGATGTCGAAATTGCCTTCGACCCCTAAAGGCCGATCAATGGTAGTTCCCCTACCTGATATTGCCTCCAAAGATGAAAACTCAGCAGCCCTTTCTGGCTGTCAGTCACTTGAAAATCCAAGCAAGGATTGCAGTGATAGAGATGGAAAACTTTCGGGTTCCAATTTTTATCGTTCTCAATCATCACTGACGACATCGAACGCAGCTTCTTTAGATAAAGCGTCCGCTTCGGTAGTGTCATTGGATAGAACTCTGCGCGCCTGTCATTCCCAACCAGTGTCCATGATGGAGGTAGCTTTTTGCATAAGTGTTTTTGAAGCATTTTCATAGGGTACTAAATCGCTTGTTTCTTCTTCACAGTATGCACAAAATGTTTCCTCCAATATAATCAGTCTTGCCGAGCATCTTGGAACTTGCATTTCCGACCACGTTCCCGAGACTCCTAATCGGCTTTCGGAAGACATGATCAAGTGCATATCAGCTATATATTGCAAATTAGCAGAACCATCTTTGTCAAATCATGGACTTTCATCTCCCATGTCTTCTTTGTCATCAGTCAGTGAATTTTCTCCAGGAGAGCAGTATGCTATGTGCAGCCCGGGGTTCCGAAACAACTCATCCTTTGATCGATTGGATAATCCTTTTCTCGTGGAAGGTCTTAAAGATTTTAGCGGGCCATACAGTACCATGATTGAGATATCACGGATTTGTGGCGACCCTCAGAAGCTACATGATGTCAATAGTTTGCTCGAAAACTTCAGGTCAGCCTATGTATATTAAGGCACAGCATCACAAATCTTTTCCCGAGCGCTTCCTGTTATCTTACAGTCTTTGTTTTTGTCGTCGGGTTATGTTTTAACAGGTTGCTTATCTCGCGTTTAGAGAAAGTTGATTTGAGGAAGCTGAAGTACGAGGAAAAGTTGGCTTTCTGGATAAATATTCACAATTCACTTGTGATGCATGTAACATGTTAACCCTTTGCATCTGTTTATTTATCCTTACACTTTTTTCCCCCGCCGAATCGATTGTAATCGTTTCTTTGTTTTCGAGCAGACGTATTTGGCTTACGGGGTACCCCAAAACAATATCAAGAGAGCCTTCTTACTCTTGAAGGTAACTTCAGGAGCCTAAACTCTCACTATGATCATTATGACCATTGCTCACTTTGTGTATGTTTTCCAGTCTGCTTATAATATTGGAGGTCATACAATTAGTGTAGACACAATACAA